TAAAATAAAACTTTTAATAAGTTCTAATTATCTTTTTACAAATTTTCCTTTTAATTTGTACACATGACTTGAATATTTTGATCACTCCATGTGTAGGCGCACCTAAAAACTTGCCTTTTATGGGTTACTATGGGCCGGTGGAAGGCCTATGAATCCATGATTATATTTGCATTGGGCTTCCATATTCTCAAATCTCACAAGTTTTCTCTCCACGATCAATCGAATTCACCATCCTTCCAAGCTAGCACAGCATTTTCATGTAAACCGATTTAATGGGAAACTCCTAATGCATCTTTAGATTATTAAAAAAAAAAATGCAAAGCATTTAACAAATGCCCAAGTTAAAAGATGGTTGAAAATGTGGCATTCAACTTACGACATTCTTGAGCAATACTAGGAGTGAATGCACGGGTATTTGGTACCTGTGGTTAGAGATGATTTTTCATTAGATAAATAATAGTACATTCTGGAAAAAATAGTTATCAAATATGACAAAATCAATAATAGTACATTCTAATTGTAGCACACTTTTGTACACTGCATTTTATCAATACTTCTATAATTTTATCATTTTCAAAAGTCCCCCACAGATGTCAATTAAAAATCATCTAAGAGTAGGCATTAGGCATAAGTTGTTTCAAACAAAGAAATATCCTCCAATGATTAGGTATAGTAATATGTTAATTGCGCAATGTGTTAATATATTTTTGTATTAATTGCACAACAAAAATCACATTTCAATTAAATGTGTCTATAACACTATTTCAGTAATTGTACCAACACATAAACTTATATGAGTTGTACTCGATACAAAAATGGTTACAAATAATTCAATATTTCATAAATACTCAGATGTCTCCATAAATTAAAACTTTAAATGTATCAAAATAAGGGTATTTTGGTAAATATATCTAAACACATGTTGCTCTCAATTGTACCAAAATCTTTAAAAAGCTACATAACATTTTACATTTTCAAAAAGTACTTATCTATATGGTTGAAATTCAAATTTCTTTTAATCACAACTCATTCTTATATAGTATAAGAATACGAGTTGGTGACATGTCACGTTTTAGGTTGCTTAAATTTACTTTTTATGTAATTTGTTGTTATCATCGCATAACACATTCAAGAGTAAAAAGAAAAATATTATGAAACAGTTAAAGATGTGGATGTCTATTTGTATTTTCGAAAAGATTGATTCATGAATTTTTCACATGATTCATTGGTACATTGATGAATCCTTTTGTTGTTTGAGTTCATTAATGGAGCTATTTTGTTCATGAATGAGAGTTTAATAGGGTTCATGTATTTTTAATTTTGTATTTACCTATATATATAGGTATACTAACATCTCTTAGAATAATTTTTAATCAATTGAAATAATAAGAAATTAGTTATTAATTCTTTCTACTTCTTACTCTATTATTCCAATCCCTATTTTAGGAGTTTATTTTATTAATTTTACAATAAAAAACAAATTTTTAGATGTATTTTTATGTTATTGATTAACTACCCATGCCACTTATGCTCTCACACCCATTAAAGTGCGGTTCAATCTGTTTCTTCCTTGGTCAGTGAGCCTGAGACCTTTTGAAAACAATAGGCTTAACTTCATCATCATGTTTAAGGGTACACCGCATATGTGTGCAATTAATAAAAAGATATTAAATTGATTAGAATTATTGTTATTAGAAAGTAGCAGTTTAAAAGAGTTCAATTGTGTCAAAAATGTGTTTTAGTATTAAAATGATAGTTTGTTTGAAGAAGTGGCGCTTAATTTCAACAATGGTAAGGACGTGAAGTAATTTTATGAAACTAGGTAGTTAAAATAATATAGTTGTATAAGGAAATAAAGGTATATTTTGATAAAATATTAAGTGACATATTTTGTTTACATCAGTCCCTCCCTTCAATTTTATATATAGTAAGATAAGATAAGATATTTGGTAATGCATTAAATGATACATTGTCATAGTTATTAAATTCGGAACTCTACTCGGAGAAGTGACCTGGTCATCCAATCACCGGTTCAACCGCGGGTTGAGTGATTCAATCATGGGTTACACAATAGTTATATTATACAATACAATAATATATTTTAAATTATAATATACTTCATTAGTCCTATTAAAAGTGTCATACTTTCTATTTTGGGATGTCCCAAAATATTTGTCATATTGGAAAAATTAAAGCACCTTGTAGTCTATTTTTCCAATATAATCATTCTTTCTAATCATATGCATGTTACCATTCAAATTTAAATTTTAAATTTGTGATGGTAAATTTGAAAAGAGAATTACAAATATCACAATCAAACCACTATTTTTAAAAAGTTGGATAACCAAAATATGACTAAATAATTGAGATGGAGGGAGTATATAATAATATCATAATATTATAATCCCTTCATTCAATAATATATGATAATATATATATAATATATATAATAATATATTTTAAATTTCAATCGACGATTTTTTTGGATACACCAATTCAATTGTCGAGTCATTGACTAGTCAACAAGTTTCTCTCTTGACCAATCTAGGTAGCAACACATCCTTGTTTTATGGTCGGTTTACCAGCTTGACTGGTTCAATCACTTGGCAGGTTAGGTTTTATAATATGCATTATATCAATCCCAATGGATGGCAATGGGGTGGGTTTCAGGCAGAGGATGGACTCTATTTTCAAGTAACTCCCCCAATTCCCACCCCTGTTCCTCCCATCCTCACTTTGCCCTGTCCCACTATCTTTGCAGGTGCTTGCGGGTGGTAATTCCTTTTTTTTTTTTTGGTTGAGTCATCTCAAAAGTATAAAGCACTCAATAGTAAATCAAAGTAATAGTAGGCAACCATACCATATGCAGATGCATTCAAAGTTCAAACACAAAAGATAGGCAAGATTCAAAGACATGCAATTTGAGTCAACGTTTAAAAAGGAAACAAAAGAAGGTAAAGAAAACTTATGCAATGTAATCACTTTGCCTCCTCTCATTTTCTTTGATCGACGTGTAGTTGAGCGATCAAGTCTTGTCTTCATACCGTCTTGAGACCAAGTAAGAAATATGGATGAGAGAACTGTAGTTGAATCGTTTAGATGTGAGAGAGAGGAGTGATAGTAGGGGTTGAGAGATTGACTAAAAGAACAAGCGGAAAGCGAGAGAGCAAGATGGAGGAGTTGGATCCTAAAAAGATTGAAAGTAAAGGCAAGATGGTGAAGTGTGATTGCCCTTGTAAGGTTAATGGATTGGGAGGGGGGCGGGGAAATATAGGAAGAGCCAAAGAAGAGGAAGGTTTAAAAGAAAGGAAAAGTAGAAACTAGGTTTCCTCATATAAAATTGCAATTACACATAGCTCATTAAGAATTGTATTCCAATTAAAAATAATTTATAATTATTAAATTATGTATATAATAGCTCATTAAGAATTGTATTCCAATTAAACATAATTTATAATTATTAAATTATCTATATAATTCTATTTATATCAAGTAAGTTTTGTGGGGATAGGACGGGAGTAGCCTTTTCTGCCCCATTTATAACAGGGAAATAAAATCTCCCATATCCTACTACACCCCTTGTCCTAAAACGACCTTTACGGGATCCGCTCTTATTGCCATTCTTACACGATCGATTTCTCTTGGGCCCAATTGGCAAAGTTAAGGGCCAGCTTAGGATTAAAAAGCACTCTCAAGCCCATTTGCAACGCTCATGGAAACTTGTTGCTCTTTAAAATCACTTATAGGTTTGTCAATACAACCAATTAAATAAAAAAATAATTATCTGGGTCTTTTGATAGGTAACAGACAAAAGATAAAATAAATATTGGATAGCAAGCAGCGTATTGCTTAATTATCACAAAGATATAATAAAAAATAATTTGGCTATTTCAGCTAGAACCCTTTTTTGGTAAGTGAGAAGTTTCGAGATTTCTTACTTGCGTTCGCTTTCCCGGTATCATCCAACCCATCATTTGTCTCGTTTCAGCTAGAACCTCATAAATCTATGCTTTCTCAATGAAATATTCCCTGAGTTTAAAAAAAAATCACAAAGATAATTCATTGCGCCTATATTATAAACTTAGTGTATTGATCAAAAATACCGTTCTCCTTATGTGAAAAAAGTAGAAGAAAATGTGGAATCATAAGATGAGATACCATACAAGTTAAATCATGCTTTATGTGTGATTTTTTTTTGGGGAGTGTTTGAAAATTTATTACTATAATATTTTTAGTTAATTTTGTATACATTGATAGTATATATATCATCATAGTTAGATGCACGATATAATTATAAAATTAAAATTTTAAATTTAAATTCAGATCAATGATTATGTATCTAACGGCAATAGTGTATACATAGTCAATAAGTGCATAAAAGATTAAACTTAATTTTTATTGATAAATGTATATGTCTACCAAAAAAATAATTAAAAAATTGTTTAAAGTTTTTCAAAAATATCAGCAATCCAAAACGAAAATCAATTTTTTTGTGACTTTTAACATGATTTGGCAATCACTAACAATTACAAAATAACAAAGTGATCGATTCTTCAATGTACTATATGCCATGTTGTTAATCATCGGCTACAGCTTATTATTTATAGGAATCCATCTTGGGACGGGATTCTGATAATTGATGGTCCGAACAAGATTTGAGGATATCTTTCAATTGGTGATATATATATATATATATATAGTTTCATATATTGATTGCACCGAGAGCACTTGCGCCGAGGAGGAGTTTTGGAAAGACCGCCAGCTTTGAATCCACAGGCACGCAAGCACCAAACAATTCTCAGTGGGACACGTCGGTGGTTCCAATTTCCAAACCCGGAACCAAAACGTGCTTACCTTATCAATCTTAACGCCAAACGCTTCTATTCTATTCTTTGCACCCCTGAGTCAGCAAAGGATAAACGAATCATCGCCTTCCTTTTAAATGACATTTACGGACACGCTTTTCTTAACGTCACTCGAGGACATAGAAGTCATTTTGGTTTATTAAACTCTTTCCGCTCTCTCTCTCTCTTGCAACTATGCTGGTGAGTGTGGGAGGACCCTCTTTGAACTTTCGGAGGAATTGATGCGACCTCGTTTTGAAATGGGAATTCGGTAGGAGACAAAGGAAGAAAATTCTTGTTGATTCGAGTTGGATTTAGCTTGAATGTTGAGATGGGTTTCTTGAGTACTTTACTGAGTTTATGTGGATTTGGAGTTGGAGTTTCTTCTGGGCTTGTGGTTGGTTACTTCTTGTTCATCTACTTCCAACCCACTGATGTTAAGGTCCTTGATTCTGCTCCCTTTTTTGTTTTGTTGTTTCACTTTGTGGATTACGTATAAGTTTTAGTTTTTGCATCGCGGTGATGTCTCCTTGTTTTCGTGCTTTAGTTAATTTGCTAAAACATATGGGCGTCTGGCTCTGCAAATTTCTGGTTTTCTAGTGAACTTTGTGTTTTGGCTACTCGGTTTATTATCCAGAAGTTCTAAAATTTTAAAGTTCCACGGAGTTGGGTGTGTACATTCTATGTCTTCTGCTGTCGATTTATTAGCAACCCGCTTCTCCATTGTTAATGATTGGAATATTGCTTGTGCAGGGCACTGGTAGGGGACCTCAAATTTTTTAGAAAATGTTTAGGATCATTATTAACCCTGTTAAGCATGAAAACAAAATAAGTTTTTCTCATTTTGTATTTTTTTTTTTTTTTTTTGGGTAAGCATCTCATTTTGATCACGATTAACTTGATACAGCTATTAATCATTTGGTATGACGTGCACATTTTTTTTTTATTTTTAGCCGGGGAGGAGTCGGAAGGAAGAGAGGGGACGATGAAGGCGGATGGAGATAGTGAGAATGGACCCTCTCCCACATGTGAGGAATGAAAATCGTTAACTGTCTTGGGATAATACCTGATTTTCAGACACTTGCTATCCTTTTTTTTAATGATATTAGATGGGTTTTAGATTCTAGCATGAGTATCAGATTAATGTCCCTTGTGCTGGGAAGACGTTAAAGTTGTAGGATGAAAAAGAATTCGTATTCATGTTTGGTCTATGACAATGCCTTCTCTCCCTTCCTCTCTTAGGTTCCGTTTGATAAAACTGAATCTGAATTCTGAAATCTGAATACTGAAGCAATTAATTTACTGAATTTTAAGTACTGAAAAGAAATATATGAATGTCTGAATTTTAATGTAAACTTATTTATACTGTGTGATAAATATTTATAACTGAATGTTTCATAAGTTTAATTTGATAATTTTGCCCTTATATCTTTTCATTCAAAAAAGAAATAGAACCTATGATTTAATTAGTTTAAAATTTTTAGGTATGAAAATGATAATATTTATTTTTAAATCAAATCAATATAAAAGATGAAATATATTATAGGAGGAGTATCGAGAAGATGTGAAAGTCATTAAAAAGGGGTAAAAGAGAAACAGTAAATTGTTAAATAGAGAATATCAGGTTGTTTAATTAGATAAGAATTTTGAAACAGTATCAGGTTGTTTATCAGGTTGTTTATCAAACAGACCCTTAGTCTGGAATGGGAAATGATGTTTGGAGGGAGAGTATGGACTGAAATCCGGAATGTAGCTAGTGTTGCATACAACATGATCACCTACAAGGAATGTGACGAGTGAGTGCATTTTAGCTGAATGGATGATTTAGTGCGTGATGGTTTGCTTAAAAACTCTATTTACTTGAGAGAAATAACTACTTGGAATCTAAGTTGTTACAGTCAGATGACTAGCTTGTCTAGAACAATGTAGGTGTGGAGCTTAACTACAAGTGTGCAAAATGGAATCCTGAATTCTGCTGAATGGCAAAGCCAACTTCAGTTCTATCTTTTGTCCTTGGTGTTTTTTTTAGGGGGGGAGGGGGTTGGTTTTGTGGGGTGTTACAGGATGGTGCTAATTAACTGGTCTAATTTAAGAATGAAAACATTATTTATATTGACTGGGAGTAATCATCGAAAGCTTGTTTTGTGCTACATCTGATAATGATTTTCCAGCAAGGGCAAAAGCCAATTTTAGTATTAAAGGGGTCTAATTAAAGAACGATAACCTTGATTATGGTAAGTGGGAACGAAGGAGGAGGTGAAGCATGAGAGTGACAGTCCAAGATGTTGTGCTGAGATTGATGGGTGTAGGAAGGCTATGAAAGGATCAGGTAGGGTTAATAGCTCATTTAGAATTTGCTGCCCCATCAAGGGAGCTAGATGTTTTTCCATTTGTATTTCAGAATTAACTCGGACAAGTAAAAATTGTGATATTCCTTCAGATTCTTTTACTCTTGTGCTGTGTTCAAAAATGAAATCTCATGGAAGAATAGACCCATCTATTATTTGTGTCAGTTTTGTTTCATGACATGATTTTGACTCCTGGATTCATGAGGATCCCACCTATTATTTGTGTCAGTCTTGTTGCATGACATGATTTTGACTCCTGGATTCATCAGGATCCCGTTATTCGCCCATTGGTTGAGCATGACTCCGAAAGTCTGCAGAAATTGCTCCCTGAAATACCTCTTTGGGTCAAAAATCCAGATTATGATCGTGTATGTATCTTGCAACATTTACTTTTCTTTGATTGGTATATTCCTTGGTTTCTTAAGACTTATCATCATTTGTGCTTCTATATAGGTTGACTGGCTGAACAAGTTTCTTGAGTATGTGTGGCCTTATCTAGACAAGGTAGGTATCATTATCATTACTAGAAGTGTTTCCTATTTTCTTTACACACACACACACATATATTTACATAGACATATACATCTACATATACATATATACATACATACATATACACACATATTCATGATTTATGCTGTCCTATCAAATTGTGCATCAGTTATCCAAGTCTTATGCTACTGGATATACCAATGAAAGACAAAAAACTATCAGTTTTTGCTAAATGTTTCTTTTAAAGAAAACAAAACACTATCTGCTTGTTCCCAACCGTTTCTCTTGTTTAGGCAATTTGCAAGACTGCAAAGAACACCGCAAAACCCATTATTGCTGAGCAAACCGCAAAGTACAATATTGAATCTGTTGAGTTTGAAACATTAACTCTTGGGTCACTTCCACCTACTTTGCAAGGTACGTGAATGTTGTCTGTGTTGTGATCTATTCCCATTGTTTTTAGGCATCTCTTTGCCAGAAGGTTTATGAAGTTTAATGTGCTGACCTTGCCTCTGCATTTTATGAAAATCTTTTCCATTTAGTCATACTAGTTTTAAAAAGATTTTTTGGAGGTTATGGAAATTAACAAAGATTACTTGCTTTATTTGCACACGTTCACTCTAGAACTGTTATTCCGTGATACTTTTGCAACTTCCAGTTAGAATGCAATACAAACAAGCAAGCTATGACTGCACCAGGCACTTACTAAAGAAAATAAAGAAGAGAATCTGGATATCCTTTTTAGCTCGTACTTATGGCATTTGCAAGTTGTTACTCATATTAAGTAAAGTGTCACATTACTTCTGGCACACTGGCAAGTTGTCACATAATTTGCAGTGGCTGTTTACCCTAGCCCTAAGGTTCTTCAGCAATGGTCAGGGTAGCACTTGAGGGCTGTGGGATATAGTATTAATGCCATTCAATGAGAGATATTTATGAAAATGCTCATGCCTATGTTTGGATGTTTGACAAGAAAGAAAAGTGGTTGAGAAACTGCTTAAAGGTTTTTGCTAAATGGCAAGTATATAGCAGTGATTAGCTTCGAACGAGAATTAGTATGGTCAAATACAGAAAATCTGTGGCAAGGTTTTGCCAAGCTTTGTTTTCCTCCTATTGTCGAAGAGATAACACACTTAAATTTTGGCATATAGAGAGTAAATAAAGATACAGATACTAGTCTGTACCTCAATATTTTCTTTCTCATGGTATCATTTATTTGAAGTTTGTGGTCTGCATATTTGATGTACATATAACCTGAACTTGCTGTGTAACCTTTGTATCTGACTGTTGCATGCACGAAAATAACTTTTTTTTTGGGATTACAACACTTGTGGTTGCATCTTTTCTCCAATCCTCATTTTCTTTCCTTCACCCTTCTTTTTGTGCATTTGAAAGAAAAAATTTATCCGAAACTCCTAGGTTTTTATCTGTTTGAGATGTGCTCTGAATCACTTGTGTAGAAGGTTGTCCCTCTCAAGGATCTTTTTTTGTTTAATCTTATTTTTGTAAGGTATGAAAGTCTATTTAACCGATGAAAAGGAGTTGATAATGGAACCATCCATCAAATGGGCAGCTAATCCTAATATCACTGTTGTGGTCAAAGCATATGGGCTGAAAGCTACTGTTCAGGTGTTGTAGTTGTTTGAATACTGATGCTTCATGTTCATGTGTTGCTTGTTTCTTAGTAGATGCACAACCTCAATTTTGAATTTCAGGCAGTAGATTTGCAAGTTTTTGCTGCACCACGTATTACCTTGAAGCCTCTGGTTCCGAGCTTTCCATGCTTTGCCAAAATTTTTGTGTCACTCATGGAGAAGGTTTGTGAATCTATATTAGCAAATCAAAGTGATTTTAAAATGAAACAGTACTGTACCCTGATTTATAGATTAATGTATAGATATCTTCAGCACAAGGATGTGATTTTTATCACATTCAGCTGTTTAGAAAGCATAAAGAATATACAATGTCTTCAGTCACCTAATAGCCCCTAATTGTACGGTACTATGCTTACCAGATTGAAGATTGTGAGTCTGACCAAATTTTCTGTTGAAAGAATTCTTTTTCAACTGCTAAGTGTGGTAGGATAAGATTTTGCATGGGCCCCTTCATGGTTTTATTGGTTAGGTGTTTTTCTTTTAGTTGAATTGTGCAATACTATGCTTACCAGATTGAAGATCTGTGAACACGACCAAGTTTTCCTGTTGAAAGAATTTCTTTTTCAACTGCTAAGTGTGGTAGGATAAGGTTTTACATGGGCCATTTGATGGTTTTATATGGTAGGCGTTTTTCTTTTAGTTGAATTGAGAAAAGAGAAATTGAAGCACATGGATTTTGCTCTCCTTTCTCTGATGAAAGGTCTAAATATGTGGCTATTTATGAAGGGAATTTGATCAGAATTCAATCACTTGACTCATAGATACAGATCAATTGTGTTGTTTGCTTGTGTGATGTAGGGTTTTCCCATATGGATTAGGATGCATTTATCTGTACAATTGAGAAACTTTTCCTGTTCATCCTGCTTTCATTTACTTGGTTTTACAGCCACACGTTGACTTTGGGCTGAAGCTCTTAGGGGCTGATCTTATGTCAATCCCAGGGCTGTATAGGTTTGTCCAGGTATGATCCCACCGCCAAAACCCTTTTCTTGTTGTTTTTGTTGATTATGTGCAAGAATTTATGGTCTTGATAAGGTACACTTTGCATTCTATTAGTGCTCTAAGGGCATGGGATTAGTATTACATTATTTGATTTTTAACTGGAACTTGAACCTGTGCTAACTAAATTTTACTATATCAATTCTACAAAAAAATTGCGAATGTTTCCTAAAGTTCAATTATAGTGCTAGTGAAAGGTTTCCTAAAGTTCAATTATTTCCTGAGTCACCTTGGGGGTCTAATCGTTAGTTTGACCTCCTGTATGAGGATTGAGAAATTGTTTGTTTTCAACCTCTTTTCTATTATTATTGTTATTTTTTAATGGAGCTAACTCTGGGATATATGTTGATTTACTTTCTAATTATAAAGTGCTAACAGGTGTAATATGTATTATCTCCAGGATATTATTAAAGATCAAGTAGCTAGCATGTATCTGTGGCCTAAGACCCATGAGGTTCAAATTCTGGATCCTACAAAGTATGGTAACTCTTATTGATTTTCAAGTTTACGTATCTTCTGATTTGACTTAGTGACTGGCTATCTTCTACACATTAAAAAGATTAATGCATTTGTACCTTTAGAGCCATGCAGAGGCCTGTTGGAATTCTCCATGTGAAGGTTTTGAGGGCAGTAAAGCTGAGAAAGAAAGATCTATTGGGTGCATCTGATCCTTATGTAAAATTAAAGCTCACTGAGTCAAAACTTCCTTCCAAGAAGACAACTGTGAAGCATAAGAATTTAAACCCCGAATGGAATCAAGAATTCACTATGGTTATCAAAGATCTGGAATCACAGGTGCTTGAGCTTAGCGTGTATGATTGGGAGCAGGTATAGACCTTAAGGCATGGCTTCGTACTTCTTATACTTGGAATTGTTTTTAACCTCAGCTTGTTATTCCTTTCTCAGATTGGAAAACATGAAAAGATGGGAATGAATGTAGTTCCTATGAAGGAACTTACTCCTGATGAGCCAAAGGTTTTGACGTTGACTCTATTGAAGAGCATGGATCCAAATGACGTTTCAAATGATAAGGAACGAGGGCAGATCATGGTGGAATTAACATACAAACCTTTCAAGGAGGATGATTTGACAAAAGATTTTCAGGAATCAGGCACTGTGCAAAAGGCCCCAGAAGGAACACCACCTGGTGGAGGTGTTCTTGTGGTTATCGTCCATGAAGCCCAAGATGTAGAAGGAAAGCACCACACTAATCCATATGCACGGATTATATTCAGAGGGGAGGAAAGAAAAACTAAGGTACAAAGCCCCAGCACTTTTCTTTTTATCTTCTTCCTTTTGTTCAATGCTAGAGAAGCAGTTTGGTTGAATGATTTAATTCTTGGACAAGTAGCTAATCCTTTATGCTTAATGTTGTAGAAGACATCTTCATTTGTAATGCGGGAGCACTTTTTCCCTCTGGAGACAGTGGGGCATTAATATGCTATCTTAGGAGTCAAGTTCTATGCATGAGGGTTGTTTCTTTTTTGAGTAAAAGGAAGTCTTACTTTTAACTATCTCCCTATGAAAGTTACATTGGGACAACCCTTTTCTCTTTACCTCAAACCTTTTTTTTTCCTCTTTTAATTTAAGAAATCTTTTAACATTTTTTGAGACTAGTATCCAGTACTCCACAAACTCAGCTACAACTAAAACTGCTTAATCAGGGAAACTCAAAGAAAACAAATAATCCACTTATATTCAGCACTAAGCAAAAAATGCTACGAGACAATCCCCACTCAATAGTCTACAACTAATTTTTGTGCTTCCTTCTGACTCCCTTCCGGCTTCAAGTAGCATATCTTAACATTGGGACGAATTATATGGTACTCCTTTAACTTTTCTGTTTTACTGGTAGCCTTAAAATTCCATAAGTGACTCTGCAATATTGTCAGACACAATGCGAGTGGTGAGAGTTTTAGCTGTTTATGGTGCTTAATAAGATTATTACTGATTAAGTGCCCATTAAATTCTTTTGGTCTGCCTCTGATGCAGCATATAAAGAAGAACAGAGATCCAAGGTGGGAGGAGGAGTTCCTGTTCATGTTAGATGAGCCTCCGGTGAATGACAGGCTTCATGCAGAAGTATTGAGCACTTCATCAAGGATAGGTCTATTGCACCCAAAGGTATCTGAGGCAAATATTCTCATTTATGCAATAGTAACACAAAAGTTTGCAGAACGCAAGGCAACAGGTCAAGCAGTGAATGGTAAAATGTGTTCCTCAAAAGATAAAAGTCCATGGTAAAAGTTTTAGATAGTAAAACATGATGTTTGGTGTGTTCGTAGCCTATGGTAAAAGTTGGTATATGAGAACCATGATTGTGGTTCTCATTCTTGTCCTTGTTTGAAACTTTTATAAGCATAGTGAGATGACAAAATGAAGTTGCAGTAGGGTTTAAAAATTTTTATGTTGATTTTCTCCTGGAAATAATAATTTTCGTGCTGTCCGCCTATTTGAAAGGTTTTCATGATAAATATGGTTCATTTAGTATGTGTTTCTGTGCTATAATTGGTGGGAAATTGTACTTGTTGTTTAAACTGTTTTTGTTTTATATGATTTTTGGGTTACTTGGCAAGAAAAGGAATATCTTGTCAGAGTTTAGTTTCTTAAATCTGTTGTTGCTAAAAGAAGAATTGATGCCTTATTATTATTAATTTTTTGTTTTGCGTTGGAGAGTTATTTAGATTAGGGGGCCAGATGGCGTTTTATGCTGCAATGTTTCTAATAGAGTCTTTGGCCATTTGGCAATACTACTATAAATTCATTGGTAATACTCCTTTTGCGATTAATGATCATTGAAGCAAGGCTAGTTTTATTAATAAAGTAGGGATATGAATCATGTGATCATGTAGGAAAAGAGGAGGGATTTTGGGGAAGGGGGTGGGAAAAACAGTTGGTGCCTTCCCATTTTGGAACTGTAAAATGGTGAAGCGCAGATTTTGGTACAAGGTTGGCAGAAGTATTGCAACAGTGGAGAATAGAGTATTGACTGCGAGTCTTTTAAGTCTTTACCCACACCATGCGGTTTTGTACTTGATATATTTTAGTCTAAGCATTTGATGCACTTTCCTTTCTTCATACTTCATCACATCAAAACTTTCCTTTCTTGACACTACTTCATCACGAAAAGTGACGCTACCTTCTGGTAATTTGTTTTCAAATTTAGGAATCCTTGGGATATGTTGATATCAGCCTGTCGGATGTTGTTAGCAACAAAAGGATCAACGAGAAGTTCCATCTAATAGATTCCAAGAATGGGCGAATTCAAATTGAGCTGGAATGGAGGGAAGCATCTTGAGCTCGAGATTCCAACAATCATCAGAATGCAGAAATGTCTTGAATTTCGTAGTGGTGATTTGATGGCTGAGGATGTCACCTTCTTTATCGCGGTCTTGACACAGACGAACATTACTTGCATGTTTGTTGTTTGTTCACAGTGATACCAATAAAAGCTCGTCTTGCTTCCATTTTTTTAGCCTGCTTGCTTACTTCTTGTTCTCAGAAAATCATGGGCAACTCTATATATATATATATATATATATATGCATGTATGTATATTTTAAATTCACGTCTTCCATGTACTGAATATTGTACTAATATTAAGAGTTAGAGGATTTAAATTGAAGGGACGTGAATTTTCGACTCTAATGTTAAATTAATTACTGAATTACCGGTGAAGATCTTTTCTTACATCTGAAGATTTTGCTCTGGGAAGCCTAGATTTTTGTGATAAATTAGGATTGGCTGTTTCCTAAGTGAGTGGCTGTATCATGAAAGACGTCGAATAAAAAAAAAAAAAAATCCATTTAACCGTTGTCCTTCCCTCTTAACTCGTAAGGCCGAGACTATGCTGTCTGTTTTTTGTTTTTTTGTTTTCCCTCGGAGAAAACTTACTGGTTCGACGTTACCTCTCTTCCAAGCTACTACTAGTATTTATTATTCTCTTGTGGAGAACATGCACAGTGGTAACTGGTATTTTTGTTTTCCCTAAATTATTTAATTTTGACCAAGTTGATTTATAAAGTTGCATAAAGATTTAAGGAAAGTTCATAAAAAAGTATAAAGCAAGGGCAAATATTACAAATGCAATACAAAAACATCCTATAAATATTACAAAATTGTCAAAATTCAAATAAATTGACAGCGTAAGGTATTCAATTTTGGATAAATAAGGACAACCGGTAGAATTTGCAAATTTATTAATGAGTTGAATTAAATTTTGTGCGCATGCTTCGTTTCATAAAAATACATTAAGTAATTTAATTTCCACATAACTTGTATAATATTAGCCGCGAATGCAATTTATCATCTTAGTGTAGAAATAATCTAGTTATGGTACACTTATTAAAGTGATTTGCAAGTTGTAAAACTTATTTGCATAAATTTTTTAGTGGATGATATGCAGAAAACCGATGTTCCAAATTTCTATGTGCAGAAAACTAAAGTAAAACACAAAAAAAAAAATGACACATATTTTTACATTTGTTATCAATTTTCACAGTTCATAATTTTTAATTAATTTTTATGATCTTTATGTATTATGTTTAATCTTTTCTTAATGATTTTCTTCCTCCTCCTATGCAACATAAGGCACAAATTTGATCAAAATCAAATATTTTAGGGACTAACAATTTTTTAGGTCCAAATTTTAAGGACTAAATTTATTTTGCCCGAACCAAATTGGTTGAAATTGAATACTCTGAAGACTATGACTAGACCATATAAATATATAATTGCAACTTTTTCCCATATCCATTTGGAAAGGTGGGGAGTGGGTAAAGGGAACCACTCAAATAAAATCTCAATTCTGATTTGTGCCTCATTTTTTGTTTGTTCGGATTATTTTTTCAAAAACAAGTTTTTTAAATATAATACTACACTAATATATAATAAGTTACAAAATATTTTATTTATATAATATATCAAATATTTTAAAATTTTTTTATATATATTATTACAGCAAATTTTTTTAAAAACACCTAAAAACAGCTAATAAAATTTTTTAAAAATATTAAAAAAAACAGCTAATTAAAAAACAGTAAAATTTTACTTGCGTCTCTCCCTCTCTCTCTCTCTTTTTTTACGTCATCAGCAATCCATCAGGAAGCCGTGGCGGCAGCGGAATAGGCAGTCAACATTCGTTGGCATTTTAGTGTGTCATGCAGTTAAAAAAAAAAGTAGAAAAGAAAAACCTTATCGGATAACAAATTGGTTGATCCGTCGGAGAGGAGAAGGTAATTGAGCGGAGATGGCGAAGGCGTTTGTGGTGGATGCGGAGTACCTGAAAGAAGTCGACAAGGCTCGTCGTGACCTTCGCGCTCTTATCTCCAGCAAGAACTGCGCTCCTATCATGCTTCGCCTGGCGTACGCCTCTCTCTCCCTCTCCCGTTCCTCTGTATTTGTACTGCTTCTTTTGTTAGTAGAATTATTTTGTTAAGGGTAATTGAAAGGCATCTCCATTTTTCTATGTTGTTTTGCGTTGTAGATGGCACGATGCAGGAACTTATGATGTCAACACCAAAACTGGAGGTCCAAACGGTTCTATTCGGAACGAGGAAGAGTACTCTCACTCCGCTAATAGTGGCTTGAGAATTGCTCTCAATTTTTGTGGTAATTCCTATCTTCTTTCTTTCCTTGCTTCTTGTTTTGGTTTTGTATATTGGTTTAATATCCTGCTCCTTGCTCTACTAGTGGAAGAATTAATTATTTTTAAAAAAATTGAAGATCAAAATAGAAAGGCTTCGCGTGCTGTATTTGTCTGCTTTTCATCTCCATCATCTACCATTTTTTTTTAGTCTTGTTAGCTCAGCTCGTCGACTCATTGGTGCTAATAATCTGATTTATCATCGGTTAGTGATTGTGCATCCGGGTTTCGGATTTTCAATTGGTAATTTTACTGATTGTAACATGAAAGTTTGATTAGGAGCTGCCAACTCTAGCTTTGATAGTTCTTATTTCTACTTGTGCTTTCGATTGTCTTCGAATTTGGGTTAAACCTGCCTGTACAGCGTAAATCTTTCAGCAATGTACAGGTAATGAAGTGAAACGAAGAGGAGGAGGCAAATACTATATCCAGATATATAAATTGATTTCAGTGATGCGTTTCATCAGTACACAAGCTGAACTTCTTTCCCTCGTCCTTTCTTTGGAGGGATGTGTTGGGAAGGGTGGCATATAGGGGTGTTCTTTGTAATGTTCTTGAGATTAAATTTCTGTTTCATTTATAATTGGGACCTTTCTTTTCCTGGTCACAGAAGAAGTGAAGTCTCGGCATCCAAAGATTACTTATGCGGACCTTTACCAGGTGATTATCTATAATTTTCTTTTAAAATTTCATTTGTTACTCATGGAGAGGAATGATGAAAAAGTGAATTTGGTGCAGTATCACGCAATCTTTTCCAGTATATATTCTGTTGTCAATATTGGAGAAGGAAAATATTAGCATCTATATCAACTAAATGGGGCACATTTCTGTAGTAATTGCTAAAACTGCATGGATTCTGGAAAAATAATGATCTCAGTTGAGTCGTAAAAATCCATCTTACTTGTGAAAGACTGCAGCTATGAACTTTCTTAATTTTTAGGTCAAAATACCTTATTTTCTGGCATTGTAAAAGAGATAGGGAAAAAAAATCACAACTCCATTAGAGCAAAGAGCAACAAAGAAGAGAACCCTCACCACCTATGTTCAATATTTATAAGTGCCCAAGACAAAGTAAAGAACAAATCTGTGTTTCTAGACCCATCTTTTAGAAACAAGTTTTTGACAAACTTCAAACATGTTTTCCAACCACCTTTGTATCTCACATACACATTTGCTAATTAAGATGCTACAGAAAAATTGTTTTAGAAACACCTCAGAAAACAAGCATCCAAAAGGAGGTAATTTTTTAGCTGAGCCATAAGCTATTGATAATTGATTATTTTCTGTGAGACTTATTCATTGAGATGGAAGTTCAGGTGTGATTTGCTGATTCTCTTCAGCATTGAGTTGTGCATTCTTTGACAGTAACTGACACAAAGATATTCTGCTTCACTTGAATAACAAAGAGCAGAGGCATAACCCTCATGTCATCGTTATTTGTGATACAAAATCAGATGATGTGTCTGGATTGGGATTAGAATATCTCTTCATTAGTTAGGACAATGGTTGGTTACTAAATTTGGCTTTTCAAACACACACCTTTAGAATAAGTCTTAATGATGGATATAGTTTCTTGTGGATGTTCGATGATCTAGAGCTGTATATTTACTTTAATTTCAAGGGACCTTTCACATTCTTTCTAGCTCTTTGATGTTTCAGTTCTGGTGTTCTTTGTCTGGAAAGATTTGTGTACTGAAAATGATTTTTCCAGCTAGCAGGGGTATTGTATTTAGGCTTGTGTTGCATATTGAAGTAGGTCAGTTATGTGTTGAATAGGAGGTAACTCATCAAACTAGCTCATTCTAATCAACCAATTCTTTGTGTAGCTTGCAGGTGTTGTTGCTGTTGAAGTTACTGGTGGCCCCACCATTGATTTTGTTGCTGGTAGAAAGGTACCTTCATCACCTATCAGGAAGAGAAATCTATTTTTTCATCTTTATGTCATAATCTATACAATAGGATGTTTAAGCAACTTCATTTACCCCTGCAGGATTCAATGATTTCTCCAAAAGAGGGGAGACTGCCTGATGCTAATAAAGGTTGATAGATGCATGCATTTTTTTCCTGACAATTATATTTTACCAATTTATTCCACTCGCTTCTTTGGCATGTTTACCACTTGTCTCTTGATTTCAGAGCACATAATTAGCTTGCTACCCAGAAACCAGATTTTCTTTTAATAGACTTGTTCTGCACCGTACTGCTTCTAATCGTAAATAGCCTTTCCAATTGTAATGACTACACTATTGCTCAAAGTTTTATTATTTTTTATACTAATTGAATCCTACTATTGGCAGTCAAACATATTTTGTTTCATGCTTTATATGATGGAAACTAGGAGATACTATGGTAGCTTGTCACTCAGGAAGATTGTGGTTACTTGATAATTCTGAATAGTGGGATAATTATCAAAATTGACTTTTAGGAGTGTTACACATGCTTCTTGCAGCTGCCTGTTTTACGCAAGCATTGAACAGAAAATTTACGACTGCAACTTGGCCAAAGTACTTAAATCTGGATGCGTAATTTCTCGAAGCTAATTCTTAAATAGCATTTTCAGTAGATGCAGCTGAATTCCTGATAGTTGCTTTAATCTATTATCTTAGACCCCAGAAATTTTGATGGTAAAATCCATATGTTGAATTTGAGAAAGATAGCTTATTCTACTGGTCACCCCATTCTAAAAGGGAAAGGGGGAAAAAGAATATTAAGTAAATAATGGATTATGCAGTTATTTTTTTTCGGTACTCTTGACATCTTGTTCTTCTCCAAATTCTGGTTATCATTATTGCATTGTGACATATCACTTTCATTTTAATATGGGCCATATA